CAGCGGCATCCTGCGTCTTTTCGCGTTGGCGGCGCGAACACAAGTGATCTGAGTAATCATCATTACCCGAAAACGTCATCATATGACGTCACACATGAACGTTTGTGAGATATCGAAAGGTCACGCAACTTGACGGCATTATACAACACCTTCGCTTGGTTGAAATGGGCCGATCATAAGGGCAGTGCTTAACCAACTGAGGGGCAGAAAGCTAGCTTTGTGTCTCCAATCCTTGGGGCAGTAATAAAACCATGTTAGGCGCAGAAATATCCCGGAGGAAACACTCAGTGCATTGAATCGAAAGAAAACGAGGATAGTTTTTGCCTTTCAGTCCGTCTGAGGTGAATCCATAAGGGGACCGGGGACTTTTTTTTTTTTTGACACTAATGAGAAATTAAAAAAAGAAAATCTGTTTTTTTTTTTCGCTCAGATATTCCAAGCGATACACATCAGCAGTATACACCGAGGCATGCAAATAATAATGTTGGAATAGCCTGAAAGAGAAAATAAAACACGAATGCTATAAAACTCGGACGCATAAATCGAACCGGTAGCACGGCCTGACAGGGCCAGTTGAAAACAGCGCGCCGCTATGTTCGTGTTACTTTTCATCCTCCCTGCATCAATGAAAGCCGCCAAGAAGCAAGACTGCAAATTAACTCGCATGAAAACACGAATTTGCGAGCTTCCTAATACGCTCGGCCATTCAGCGCCAACATTCCGTTGGATGGATGGATGAATTGATGTGGCTGTACCCTTAAGATCGGGCGGCGGCTAACGCCACCTAGCCACAATACTTAAACTAACAACTGGATTTTTTCCCCCTTTAAATAGTGAAGTTGAGGACTGGTACTTTGCAGTGAAGGGTTTAATTTTCACTCGTGCCATGACTTTAGCCACCAATCAGATAACCTCTTTCTAGTTAATTCTACCCGCTTAAAGTCTATTTTGCCCTCCCTGGGCCTGAACCCAACTGCTTTGAATAACTCTGCGCCATCATCCTGAACTATAGGGTGAAGCCCTTTACAGAACATTATCAAGTGTTCGGCAGTTTCTTCTTCCTCTCCACACGCACTGCATACTGTCTACCCCTTCGTATTTGGCCCGATATGTCTTGGTTCGCAATACTACCGTCCTGGCCTCAAACAGTAGAGAACTACTCCGAGTATTATCATAGATCCTTTCCTTGGCAATTTCCCGCTTAAAAGTTCGATAGATCTCTAGTGCGGACTTCTTAATCATTGCGGACTTCTTAATCATGCCAATTCTCCACATGTCAGTATCCGTTTCCTTCACTTTCTTCTTAACCGATAGTTCTTTTTGATTTGGCCACCTACTGTTTTCTAAGTATTTACCAGTCAATTTTCTGGTTCGCTTCCTCCATTTTGTATCGACATTCGTCATGTTAAGTAGCTGAAAACCTTCCTAGCCCGCCGCTCCTCTCCCATTTCTCTCAATTGCTTCTCAAACTTTATCTTGCTGCTAGCATCCCTGCCCTCAAATGATGTCCATCCCATATCACCTTGTACTCCCTGATTTGGTGTATTCCCGTGAGCTCCTAAAGCAAGCCCACCTATTCCACGTTGCTTAATTTCTAATCTTGCTTGAACTTCTGATCTCGTGCACAAAACCGCATTGCCGAACGTCAGCACAGGAACCATGACCCCTTTCCATATTCCTCTCACATCATCATACCCATCGTAATTCCACAGTGCCCTATTTTTCATCACTGCTGCATTCCTGTTACCTTTAGTCGTCACGTATATTCCGTGTTCCCTTAGGTACTCGGTCCCATTGCTTACCCATACGCCCAGATATTTGTATTTATCTGTTATCTCTAGTGTGACCTCCTGTATTCTAAGCTCACTACCTTCGTTGTCATTGAAAATCATGACTGCTGATGTTTCCTTACTGAATCTAAAATCTAAACTATCTCCCTCATTACCGCAGATGTCCATCAATCTCTGCAAATCTTCCTTGTTGTTGGCCATTAGCACTATATCATCTGCATACATTAAAGCTGGTAGTGCCTGATCAATGAGTTTTCCTTGTTTGACTAAAGAGAGGTTGAAGCCAAGTCCACTTCCCTCTAATTTGGCCTCTACTCCTTATAGGTACATCATGAATAACAAGGGTGACAGTGGACACCCCTGCCCAAGTCCCCGTTTCACCTCTGTGGGCTTGGATACCTGTTTTTCCCACTTTATCTTGTTACTTTTATAGATTTCCTTTAAAGATTAGTGACTCCATCTTCCACACGCAGTGTCTCTAGTATTCCCCACAAGTCCTCTAACCACGCTATCGTACGCTCCCTTGATATCCAAAAATGGTAGCCACAGTGGCCCGAGTTTCTTTTCTTCTATTTCGATGCACTGCATCAGTGAGAACAGATTGTCTTCCAACCTCCTGTGTTTCCAAAACCCATTCTGCAGTTCACCCAGCACCCCCTCATCACCTATCCATGCCTGTAGTCTTTCCTTCATAATGTGCATCGCCAGCCTGTAAACCACTGATGTCACTGTTATAGGACGGTAGTTGTTTATGTCAGCTTTGTCTCCCTTTCCTTTATAGATCATGCTCATCCTGCTAAGTTTCCATCCATCGGGGACATCACCATCGATTATTGTTTTGCTCACTGCCTCTCTTAAAGTCAGCTTAGACTTTGGACCCAATGTCTTTATCAGCATAATTGGAATGCCATTGGGCCTGTTGATGTACTATTAGGAACCCTCTTCTCAGCCCTTTGCCACTCTCGTTGTGAAAATGGAGCCATTGTGCCACTTGATCAATCCTTTTCTATTGTGGTGCATAAGGCACATTTTTGTTGAAAATTTTCTGTCCCCCTTGTTCTTATGTATTCAATATATTCGTCCCCTTCTAGCCTAGCACCTTGAGCTGTAGTTATAAACCTCTGCTCTAGGCTTGTCTCATTTCTTAGGGAGTTTAGATGGTTCCCAAATTTCGCAGCTGCCTTTCTATCCTTTATATATAATTCTACCAGCCGTAGTCTACTTGCGCGCGCTCGACGGCCTGAAGAGACCGTTCGCCTGGGCACTGAAAAATAGAGGCGGCGCTGCCTTTAGTGGACCCACTCCACTACTACTTTAAGAAGTGAAGTGTTGCAGGGCCACTTCGACATATGCGGCCTCACATAAAAGACCTAAGGCGTCCCATTCGTGTTTTTCTTCCTCCACAGGTGCGGCCCTCCGTTCTCGCTTCTCATGGTTGACCCGGACGCACCCAACAGGCAGCAACCGACAAAGCGAAGCTGGCTCCACTGGATGGTGCTCAACGCGAACAGCGACAAAAAGTTTCACGAGGGTGACGAGGCCATGTCATACAAGGGCCCAAACCCTCCCCGAGGGTCGGGACCCCATCGCTACGTGTTGCTGGTCTACTGTCAGGACGGCCAGATGCTGAACAAGGCCGATGTGGTGCCCAGTGAGAGGCCCAGCTACAACCTCTCTACATTCGGCAGGAAATTGAAAACCGAATTGGCGGTAGCGGGCGCATTCTTTTACGCCGAGAACAAATGAGCTGAAATCTCCGGTGTCGTACATCTTCGGTAGCGGCAAGTCATGCTGGCGCGCTGCCAGAGATATTTCGACAACCAAACTGAACAGCAGCGGAGGTTGTGGCGATCAACTGCGGACTGACTGTACAGTACGTCTGAAACACCGCTGACTGCATGTGGAGTTGGAGAATAAGAAAACTTGTCTCTCATTTCCTTCAGTTTGATTTGTCTTTTTCCCCAAAACTCGACACTTACTTGTAGGGCGACTTGACAGAGTTCAATCTGCCTGTTCCCCCCCTCTCTTTCTTTACGATAACACAGCGCCTGCACCTTTCCCCGACAAGGAAAAGTCGCTAAACGCATTTTAATTGCAGAAGCTTCAATACCGGTTGTACCGGTTTGTGGTCTCCGCAATTAGCTCTGGCAACACGACTTGCTATCGGAGCAAATTACGGAGGCCACGACTAGACCTTACAGAATGGCAGAACGCAGCACAGGAAAATGAAATTGGTGGATCCACAAAGCTTCTGTTGCGCAAGTGTGTTGCTCAACTGCAACAGTTTCAATGCCATTCTTGGGCTGGCTTCGTTATGTCCCGCATGGTGCCTGGCTAAATTAAACTTGAGAAAAATTTTTAGAGTAAAAAGTTTTTGTGCATTGGTGAAAGAAACATTGAAAAGAGCTGCCCTCGTGCAATGAGGCAATCTTTTTGTGTTGGTTTCGATGTTTTACATTTCTGAAGGACACCACTAAATATTTAATTGGGCCAACGCTTGCTAGAGACAGTGACCACAAAGTGCAGGCAACTAAGAAAAGCTAAATGCACTCCAGGTTCATTAGACCTAAGTTTGAGTACAAGGTTACCAGTGCGTTACAATTGGGGGGTGCAATAGCATCGGACAGATATGGTAGATCGGCTCAAGTCCAATCGTTTCCTCCACTTCCTGCTTCCCTCAGACTGAAAGCAACCAAGGGGCACTTCCACACACTGCTTGAGGAAACAGTGGAGATTCAGCAAGAAAACAAAACCATAAAAGCAACCAAGATTTACAAACAGAAAATACAGATGACAGCCAGTGCATTAGAATACTGGGAAAGTTCCCACAAGTGCATTTATTTCCAGTTATTGGAAAGAAATGCCTTTTGTGCAGCTACTCCCAGCCACCGACATCATGCTACAAGTATGTGGACAAATATTGAAACCACGTCTTATTTCCAGTTTGATGCCATTTTTAATAAAAGTTTAATAGATAATAGCAGCTTTCATGTGGCAGGTTTGGAAGGCATGCCATTCAATTGTCGGACTGCTTACATTGCCGTCACAACAGATTTATATTATATAATCTAAGCCAGTGACAATGTATTTACTTCATTACGGTCCTATTCATTATACAGCGATTTGCACTACCATTCTATAGTGTGCCGGAGCAGCTTCAATATTTCAATAAATGTGCAGAAGCCAGTGAGTCAAGCTTGACGACACGACTACGGCAATTTGCACACATTTTATTTCAAAAATGGCCCGGTAAAAAAAAAGACAGCTCGAAAAAGTCTTACAGCATTTAAAAAAGAAAACACCTTGTTGAAGCATAGCAGTTGTACCACCATCACCAATATGGGCATTTCCGTGGCATAATTCGCGACGTACTGTGGAAGGATCTAAAATGTTGCTGCTGCCCCCGGTAAACACACGCGTGCAGCAAAAGAGCTGCCCTGTATAAACATGCGAAAAAGACTTGTGGTGACGAGCACAATAAACATGGGACGAGAAAAACAGTAAAATAAAAAAAGCTTTAAATATGTTAATATATATATATATATATAGTATGTATAGACCTTTTCTAGAAAAAAAAAAATGCAGACGCTGCTACTTGCTGTTGAAAAAAATTCAATTAAAAAAAAACTGCCAAGAAGTGCTCGTTTTTCCTCTCTCCATTTCACTTTATTTGCTTATTTGGAAGGCTGAAAAATGGCACTTTTTGATTATGAGATGATTTGTGCTTTGTCGACCCCTTGCACACAACCCTCCCACTTAAAAAAAATATGCAAGTAAAAACGAGAAGTGTTGTTGTGCCTTTACGAAATGAAAACTAGCACAAGGCCTATTCCTTTATCATTCACGGTGAGTCTCTATCTGGCTCTCATTACACCGATGGGCTGGGCTGGCTACCCTTTTGCCTTGGGTGTACTGCATGGAACTGGAGAACACAGCTACCTACTATCTGTGCCCACCGTGAAAGAGAAATGCAACTAAGTGAAATGACTTCATTCTGGTCGCGAATGCAAATCGAGGAATGAACGCAGGAGCTGTTAAAATAGTTCCCACCCCTCCCCAAATTCGTGCCACGAGCAGTCCCCCTTTATGAGGTGCCGCCGCTAATGAAGTCCAATATGGGGTCCTTAATGTAAATAATATAGCGTATACAAGGTTCTTGTACTGCTTGCCTACTTGCAGCATTGCATGCATGTTGCGGATGTAATTGCATATGCGCAAATGCAATAAACAAAAAATTTCGGGAACACGAGCAACAGTATTCAACGAGCTGCTACACGTAGCGCCCAGTTCCCATTGTGGTCCCCTATATCTCTTGTACATGCATACAGCATGAATGCATCTGTCGAAGAAACGGGGCCCACAAACAAAAAATAAGAGAAAAGCGCAACTTGCACGGTCTTGCTATGCGACAACTCTGCCTCGGGGCATGCAGCTGTCACGACTTGCGTAGTGCCAACGCATCTCGACGTGCCGTGAAATGTTACATCACAGCACTCGCCCCGGACGTGACGGCCAACGAGAACAGTTGTGAGATATACTGCTGGGAATAGAATAAAACAGTTTGAACTGCAGAAAGACTGCAGTCAAGACTGGCTGGATAATAGCGCGAGTTATTTCGAATGTCTCCCATAAAAAAAAAGAAAGAAGAAAGTGCTGTTTTGGAGGTTTGAAAACACTGGCACGCTTATTAGCTGACCTACTTCAGCCACGACCTCACTTTGCTGCGTACCGCCAAGTTTTTAGAATACCTTTATCTCTGACAGTACGTAACTTCTAAGCGAAGACGGCCAGTTGCAAATGAGTTATGCAAAGTTATGCAAACACTTTCCGATTTCAGCAATGTGGCTGTAGAAGCATGAAGCAAGAAGCATTTTGTCTGCATCGCGAATAGGAGTGCCTGCCGCTGTAGAACGCGGCAACAGCACACACATCTGCTGCATTTGTGCCGAGGTAAAAGGCACTTGCGGTACTTGCAGTGTTGACCGCCATACGAGGAATGATGCAATACTGAGTGTCTATAAAAACCAACGCGACATGGTTAGAGTATACTGGCAGCACCGCCATGCGAATATGCGAGATTGACGTTTTGTGGTCATTTCCCAACATTGCGCTGTTTTGCTTCGTGATGTCACCAGTTAGGTGCAAGAATGGTCCTTCGGAGTGGGAATAAAACCGCAATCTTAGCGGAAACCAGAGGTTTGTTCTACGATTGCTTAGTCTATTCCGTGAATTCACTGATAAAAAAAAGTATGCACGCCACTATGTATGACAGCACTGGTCGTTCTCGATTTGAATGGTGTTTCCGCCAACATTTCCAAAGTTGGCAATTCGTTCAGATTTTTCCAATACCGAAGATAAATATACGCACAGCCGCATAAGTACAGCCGACCACCGGTGTTATCAGTGTACTTTTGGCAAATAAAAAAAGTGCATATTGTACATTTCACAGTCTAAGCGAAAAAAAGACTCTCCTCCACTGTTCATACATTTTTTTGCGGCTCTCGGTCGTGTGCAGGTGCTGGAGACTGTAGAAAAATGCAAGGAGTGGGGGCACAACCTAGTGGCGAAAAGTTCAACATACACGTGAAAACTAATCCTACTCTTGCGAGGAGGAAAAAAAATGCAGACATACAGTAAGCTGCCAAACATTACACGCTGCAACAATTCCCACGACAAACGCGCATTTCCACAGAGTTTGGGCACAACACCTTCGAAGTGTCAAAATCTGCAAGTGGATGGCGAATGCTATTAAGCCATGATACCTCAAAATAGAGGCAACGATGCTGCCGAAGCTCCGTGAGATCTAGGCTTTCCTTGCAAAATGCGAACACCCCTCATACTTTCGCAGGTAACTGTACGGCCCAACTGCTCCTTACTCCCCCATTCTCTCACGCATGCCCAAGTCTTCTTGCCCCAGTGCTGGACATGCAACATCAGTGTGCCAAGCATGCGCACAGCTGCGAGATAACGTGCACGAATATGTTAGTGTGTGTGTGGTGCACCTGTGCACACCTGTGCTCAGCAACAGTGCTTTGTTCCTAAACTGATTAAAAAAATGGCTTAAAAACAGGGAAACCAACAAGTAACAGGGGGAGATAAAAAAAGAAAAAAAAAAGAACACCTGTTGCTCGGAGGAACTAGCTGCAATGTGAAAAACAATCACGCAAAAAGGAAGAAAAAAATGAAAAAAAAAAAACAAATGCGCATGGTGTGAAAATACGATACAGCTCCAAGTGGCGGATGCTAGCTGATGAAGGCTGGTTCAATTTGTAGGAGAGCTCCTGTTGCAAGAAAAAAAAGAAGGAGAGGGAAATAATAGTGTGAGAGCAAGAAATAAGACAAGGGCACAGATCACATTGAGTATTATTGACAAATAGGAGCAAAAGATGTTAGCACGACAACGAAGGCAGTAGCTAATGAGCAGCGCAGAGGATTGCACCAGACACTTTATTTCAATGCAAAAAACAACTCTCCATGGTACGTAACCCATTCTATTGGACCTAAGCTTCCCCCTACCCATGCCTGAATGAAATTATAAGAAATTTTCAGTATAGACACTCTGGCAAATGGGCAGGAAGTAGAGAGAATGCTGGACTGGCATCGTTGGCAACATTCTCACTGACGTTAAGAAATATGTGGCTAAGGCAAAAAGTACTGGCTGCTACACAGCGTTGCGTATGAAAAGTTCCCTCCCTAATTTTTAGCTCTGCTGGAATAAGCATTTGTATGGAATGAATGCATTATGAAATGTACACTTGAACCACATTATAACAAAGTTGCATTTTACAAAAAAAAAAAATAGGTCTGTTATATGCAAAAATTTGTCATTAAAGTGTATTCTTAACACTATCTATTGCAGGAGTATTCCCCACTTCGTAATAACCAATATTTTGTTATATCCCAGTTCGTAATATCAAGGTCTGAGTGTACTATCTTTTTAATGTTGTATGTTCACACACATTTACTTATCTGCCATACGAATATAGTGTAAACGCATAAGGTTGTTCGTTATAAGTACAGATTACATTTCTCGGGATGAACTTTACCCATACACTAACTACGAGCAAATTACAATTTTAGTTCAAGATCGAAAAACACAGTTCCGAAATTGACCGACTGATAAATTTAGAAAGTAGGCTTGTCTACAAGGCTGCGTTACTGCCAAGAGCTATCGTCCCAGACTTATTGCTATCGTTGGTACTTCAAAAACGAAACCCACTGTGCACATAAGATGCTCGTGAATTGAAATGCGATATCAAAACTGGATGATAACGGCAGGCATGAGTAACTGCTCGAGATAACTGCGTAAAATCACTACGATTATGGTCACAAAGTGTAACGTTTGTTTCGATGCGAGTGTTCTCCTACATGAGACGAACTGATGCCGATAGAAACGTAGGCATTCATTTTAAAAATTTACAGAACACCTGCACTAGCTCGAAGGCATTGTCGCACATGAAACGGTCCAAGTACTGTGTTGCATTTTTGCAATCACAAGATATGTAACACTACGTTAACACCAAGGTAGACAAGATGAAACAAACAATAGGTTAATATTCCTGAAAGTTCAAACAAATCTTGCACACTAATACATTATGATAAACAGTTGCAAATAAAAATCATCAGATAAAGAAGCACATCCTTCTGGTAAAAAGTTTCCAGCCTTGTACGGCACGTGGGAAGAGAGGTTCATAATAGTACGTTATGTTGGGCTAGTTGGTACATATTATTAGGCTGAAATACGTGGCGCAAGGTTGACCAAGAGAAAAAACAAAGACAAGACAGAGAGAGCGCCAACTCACAACTCACTGAGTTGTGAGTTGGCGATCTCTCTGTCTCGTCTTTTTTTTCTCTCTTGGTCAACCTTGCGCCACGTATTTCAGCCTAAGAGAGATTCAGATGGCACTTGTATTGCAGCTGCATTCATACGCTTTCTTTGCATGGTAGTGCCATGTTGTATGCGCTTACTCTTCCCTAATTTGCTGCACCTGGGCTTACTATGCACACATTCAAGCTGTTGCTTACCCATTGACGAGCGTCTCCTCCCGCACAACGACAACAGTGCGCTTCTCGCGCACCACCTCTATCTTGCATTCAGAACGCAGCTTGTCGGCAAGTGCTTCGTGGTCGGCGGGCAGCAGGTCGTCCAGATCGAGGGACTTCAGGTCGCCCACTGTGCTTGTGGTGGTGGTGAAGTTGGACTCATTCTTAGTGATGACCAGACTGCTGATACCACTGCAATTTGGGGGAAGACGTGCCAAGAAAGTGGAGAGCAATAAGAAGCGAATAAAATCGATGTTCGAGATTGTACTGTGAAAGGATGCTGTATTCAGTGATTTATTTTGGTCAATCCAATGTTCTAACCTCTTTTTCATTTGTGCAGATATAAAACAAAAATTTCGCTTTCTTTAAATAAAAATGATAAGAGCCAGGATAGAGCCCTGAAAAGTCAAGAAAATGTACTGGTAAGAATGGGTAAACTATAGAAAAGTAATGTCTGAAATGCTACCGTGTTTACTCGCATAATCCTTTCACTTTTTTTCGCGGAAAACCGATGCAAAGTTGGGAGGTGCGAGAATTACGCGGGGAAAACTTTCCACGAAAATGTACAGAGCAAAAAAGAAAACGAAGTGGTCCCAAATCGGGATTCTCACACCAGCAACTAATAGCTAACTTTGATAAGTACTAATTAAAACTTACCTCAACAATAAAAGCACATGTTCAACACAAGGCGAGATTTATTTGAGACACAAAAAGTACAAGCAAATAGTCGAGAATCAGAATACCATACGCAAAGCTTGTGGGCGTTGCGGGCATAGCAGTAGCGTTCATCGCTCAACAGGAGCCCTCAAAAGGTAAGCGTAGGACGCCAGTATTGAGCTGATGGCTATTTGACAGAATCGTCTGCAGTTTCCTTCTGAAGAAATGAAGCTTACCATCAATCCCAGTTTTAGGCACACGGCAGGCCTAACGCGTCTTCGTGGCTTTCAGCTGCCGTCACCAGTAGCGAACACAAAACTCATAGGCTCTGAAGGGCTTACCAGCACCCCTGTTGCCGTTGTTTAGTGCATGACCTATCACTTGCAACTTGAAGCAGCCGTGTAGATTCCGTATCGCCCCATAACATGCCAAGATTACCGACACAACATACAAAACACGCCGCAATGTGCACTGGCCACTTCGGCTTGGCTTGGATTAGATTGAATCTCCGTGCAATAGTACGCTTGATGCTTAAGAGATGGTGCCAGATGGGACACACTATCATCATCAGTGGCTGGAACAAGCAGACATTATTCCGGCAGTTTTTAGGGGTGCGATAATTACTAGAGGAAAAAAAATCGAATTTTTCTCAACGGTGCGGGGGTGCGAGAATTATGCGAGTGCGAGGATTACGCGAGTACATACGGTATTATGGGCTTCTCATCACATGCAAAGGTCAGATACATATAGATTTCCATTGCAACTCCTCAGTTAACAACTTAAGAGTAATTATACTTCTTTTACATGCAGTTTACTTTTTAGTTTCGTCCAACACCGACAAAAAGGGGGTTCCAGACAGCTATGGACTAAAATGCACCTACTACCCACCTACTTTCAAAGCTCGTAAAAATTCTAAAAGCAAATCACTGCAAAAACAGCGCACAGACCTGTCTGGTGGAGAGTCCAAGCCACCTTTGTCATCGTCACCGCCTTCTGACGACTCTTCCTTTGGCGATGTGGGAGACGTGGCGGCTGAGAAGGCCAGCTGTGGCTTCTTTTCTGCCACCTCCTTCACTTCCTCGAGCTTGGTTTCGCTAGTAGATGCGGCCTTGCCGTCTGCTTCCTTAGGCTCTTCGTTCTCTGTGGCCAACACGGCAGGTGCTGCTGCTTCTACTTTCTCTTCCTCCTTGCCCCCCTGGGGTTCCTGGGGCTGCGGGGGCTGAGGCCGAACCCCTTCGGGCAGATCCACCTGGCAGTGGGGGGCCACCATTCGCTTGGCCGAGAGGGAGAAGCGTTCGAACTCACACGGCGAGCTCAGGTAAAAGCCCTCCCCGTCCTTTGTGAACACGAGACTGCATATGCCGCTGCGTAGGGAGGGGCATAATTCAGAAAATGTAAGAAATGTAATTACGTATACAAGACCTTGGGCAGCGACTAGTTACCAATAATGCGTTGCCACCGACCAATTCCTGCATAAGGTAATTTTTAACTGTAACTAGCTACCTTTTCAGTCATGTAACTTGTAAGTCAAACGGTGTCACTTACATGATAATGACGGAGCTACTCCCACTCAGTTGCAAAGATGCATATGGTTATGTCTGATCAATAATGACATCTTGTTCAGAAAACAAAAAGAAAAAAAAAACAAGCAACAGAAGTGGATGCTGCTACTATGTATGTTCATCCCAGATGGGCAACAATCTCTCCTTACAATGCACATAAATCTACTGGCAGTAACAGCCACAAGTAAAAATTTGTTGAACAATGTTAAGAAGGTTACTTTCCTGCACCAGGTAACTCCGAACTCCAACACTACTGCTGCTTTTTGCTGGTGACATGCCCATGCTTGCATACAGAAGCAATAAAAAATAAAAACAAGTAAAATTAATGTGCAGGAAATAAGCACCGAATAAAGAAGCAAAAGCCTTACTTACTGGTTTGGCTGCCAGCAGTTCTCATGGCGAAAATCTTACGCCACTGCTGCTCTTTGCAGTTTCAATCGCACTCATCATCGCAACTCTAAAGGTTTGTTCACACCGAAGGTAGAGCGGCAAAGTGAGAAAGCGAGCTTTTCTAAGCGGCGAGTGCATGCAGTTGTTCACACCACACGCCTCCTTTGGCTGGCCACACGGCAGAGGAGGCAGGCATTTCATACTTTTGAGCATGTGCTGCTGAGCATGTGCTGCTGAGCATGTGCTGCTGTTTGGTGAATGCTTGACCCAAAGGTACACCAGCACTCGAGCTAAGCCACTACCGGGCCTCCATCGCATGGCGTTCTGACTGGCTGCAGTAAAGCGAATAGCTTCAGTGGATGGCAAAAAAAGAAAATTGGTGTAGAAGCGATCGGACTTGCTGCCTCGTTTCCCACCTGCTTTTGCCGGAGGTTTTTCCTGCTTTCCACTTTGCTGCTTTGGCTGCTACCCCTTTGGTGTGAACAAGCTTTAAAAGCAGTCGTAGCGAGACTGCTTCGATGCAGTACGAGCAGCAAGATAATATGCATATTCAGAACCGAGCAGGTTTTATAGGGCTAATAGAAAGAGTTCATTATTTTAGGATGGCAGATTAGTGACATATTGTTCTACGAAGGTGCACTCACTTGATGTCCTCGCGGCGAAGGCAAGCCTCAAGCATCTGGCGGCGCAGGTCAGGCAGGGAGTGTAGTGCCACCTCGCCCAAGTTGGAGAGCACAGCCAGGCAGTACTCTGTGCGAGCAGGGTCACTGCGGCTCTGGAAGCGTGCTATGGCGGCCCTGCGCAGCCGAGCTCCCTCATGCGCCGTCAGTTTTAGCTTGCCAAAGGGCTTCAAACTGGGCAGTGTGAAAACCTGCAGCAGCAGCAAAGACAACATATTGATTGTTAGGGCATTATGTTTGAAAAGTATGATATTGCAAAGTGCCAGTGGCGTCTTTCTGTAGGAGTCTATCTTTTCGGTAACAATACGATTGTGAAAGGTGCTATAGCGAAGGGCTTGGAAAATTTTCACCATCTGGTGTTATTTAGCTTACACTTGAACCTCTAGCAATATTCCTCCACCAAAATGAGAATGTTACAGTCTGGATTCCATCTTGCGATCCTTGTGTAAGCAGTTGAGTACCACAAGCCCAACACCATCACAGTGGGCAGTGAAAAGAATTAGAGCTAGTCAAGAAACACGAATAACGACAAACTGTGCTGTAGGGCTCTAGCCTGCCATTTATAAGAGGTAGAATGTTTCACTGATGAGAGGAGGCTTATATGCCCAATGCATTCCTACATATTCTACAAATTAAATATAAGCAGGAAATGCTAGCCAATATCTAGGGGCGAAGATTCTTAGGCCCGCACCACACCATCGAAGTTCCCCGCTGCATCAGCTTCCCATAGACGCTTGATCGCCGAAGTGGACAAGATGGCCAACACAAAAACTAGTGGGCTGCAGTTCCATCTTGCATGACGCCTCACACAAGAAAGCGAGCACAGATAAATGCAGAACGCATCACAAGTGGTTACTCTTTGCACATCTCAGCTCGCTGCGGCATGTGCGTCGCCTCCGCGATAAGGTTTTGCAATGCATCCTTGAGAGTAACGGTGTACTGTCGTATCCAATCACGCAGAACACCACAAGTGAAGCGAAATGGAACTGTAATGTCGCAAGTTCACGCGTCAGCCGCATGTGCCGGCTCGCAAGCAGAGGTGCGAAACTTTACTGGTTTTAAAAACATTGCCCCACCCTACAGTCTTCATGAAGGCCAGCTGCAAGATCAGGTGCATAGTAGTTTGTGTTCCATTTCTAAGGAGCATCGCTCATCGGTTGCATTCGTACGTAGAACGACTGCTTGTTTCTTATTAACACCAGTGATCATTACCGATACTGTCACATGCCACGAACGCAATGACACAGAGAACAGCTAGTGTGTGGTACTAACAACTTCATACAGTGGAACTTCAATTAAATGTACCCTGGTTTTGCCCCGTATTGTACAACGAATCAGTTTGGTCCAGGTGAAATCACCATAGAAATAATGTATTCAAAACCTTGGTGATACAACGCAGTTTTATGCTGACCCCACGTTTTAAGATGACTTTAAGATGCAGCCCGAAAGAAAAAAAAACACATTTACTCGAATCAAACATCCACCAAATATTATCAAGTGCGAATCATGAACTTGCGTTCCATTAAGTTGTCGATTAGAAAAGTAGAGAGCGAGACAGCATGTCTTCTTAGAATGAATTCATTCTCCTGGATCTTCAGCGCTTCTACATAAGCCTCGATCGAATGCGTACTTATCCTTTACCTAACTGCAGCATACAAACATGGAATCGTAATACCATAGCATAAACGGTACTGCTAAACCACCCACATGACGCCTGCACCGGTACTTCACCTTCAGCTGTTCCTCGGAGCAGATGAGTACCCTTTGTGGTGGCACTAGGCCCTTGGGCTCCTCCTCAAATGGGTCCGCAATAGGGTAGCCACGAGCGTCTATTATGTGGATGGATATCACTGGAGCCTTGTGCTTCAGGTGGATCTCCTTGCCTGCACGAGGGCCATGGCACAATAAGCGCACAAGCGAAACCTACACATTTTGAAAAACTCGAACATCAAAAGGGAATCCCGGAGTTACCACTGTCAGGGGACTCTGATTCGCGAGAATGCCTTAGATTTTTTTTAATGCATTTCCTATGTGGTGATCGTAAATGAAAAGGGTGTATATAGAAAGGCAGAGCTTTCAGCTTTGAAAAGACGCCAAAATAATGGTACTAGATGTGGGGAGAGACTAGATATGGCGTCACGAATTGCAGCATTTTAGTGCAATTTTCGGCTTCATTTTCACAGATCATGCTTACAAAATGAGCTTTTTTTTGGGCACTACGATTGTGTTTTCAGTGTAATCATTTAGATACTGCACAAATAAAAGACTGCAGATGCGAAAACGACTGTCTTCCAAGAATTCTTTTAAATTGTCCTTAAAGCTATTTTCACAATTTAATCCCCATGTTTACCCTTAATTTAGCACAAAGAAAAAGGCCCCACATGGTATGATGCAACACAAACTAGCACGAAAGCTATGTCAACCTTCCAAGTAATATTTCGCCACAACCAGACATCTCAAAGGCACACAACACATGCAAAAACAGCTTTAGACCAAGGCTTCACAAGTTACTAAAAAAAAGTATGGCACAAGTAGCTCTAATGAAGCAACCCCCCTTTTTTTCAGGACTTACCAAGGGTGCACTGAACTGGATCAGAGTCCCTCTTGTCGCTCGGGGGGAAGGCAAGGGTGTAAACAAAAATGGCACCTGCGTTCGTGCCTGCCCAGAGGGTTGGTGTTGTCGCTGCATCTGAAATGAAAGAACAAGACGGCGCTGCTGTGAACTCAACGATTGCAAGTGTTCTAACCACTTAAGGGGGGATGCGGTTTTGAGATCGCGAAAAATGGCGAAAAATCGATTATTTGAAAATCAAGTTTTCAGTTTCTAGAATAATTTTTCTATCTGATTCAAAAATATCTACACTAAAAACCGCGCAGAAGTGCTTCGGAAAATTCATTCCACCCACCTAGGTAGCGAAACTTTTTTTGGAAATCGCGAGAAAATGGCGATTTAAAAAAAATTATGGCTTCGCGATGGCGGGGCCGGGAGCCAGCTTCTTGGGCTCATCGGAAAGAGCATTTCTCCGCGTTTAACTTTCCCGCCTCAGCTGGCTCCTCCCTTTGAAAACAAGCGCACAAAAAGCAAATGTTGGAAGGTTGTTTCGAGGCCCTTGATTGGCTGTGGCCGCCATGTTGCCTCAGCTCACTTCGTCATCGGCCCGATGCTCTCTCTGGGAAATCGCCTGCTGCTTGTGCTTTGCGAGAACATGGCTCTCAAAAATTTCTACTTCATGATGTGTTCACGGCTCGGTCATCACTTAAGATATAATTACGTTTTAGTTAGGAGCAGTAGGCAGACGCGCGATCAAGTTACTACGAGCGCGGCGCGTCATCGGAGTCGGCTGTAGCCCTAACTCTGCTGACAGCGAGACTGCGGGCAGGAACGACGCGCTAGCGCACTCTTGGCAACGTGCTTCTTCACAAGGAATGAATCACATCACTCACTAGCTCCTCTGAACCACATACGGGCATTTTACCATTTCACGCATCGGCAGCGGACCATACAGTCAAGCTCGTCACCCCTCACCCCTCTTCACTGCCAAGGATTGCTCGGAACAGCGGCTAGCAGTTTCGCGCGTCGGCACTTGAAAATGCGATTCCAAGCGCGGTGCTCGCAGATTTTTTGTCATTGTAGTTACACATTTCGCGCATCATCACCGAACGCCGCCGGCAAGAGCATTACGCGCCGGCTGCACTGTCCACGGTCATATGGAGCGCTGTCAATAAGCTTTTGTGATACGATTTAGACGTGCTTGGAGCCGTGCTTGATATCGCCACGAACGTCTATGAATGTTCCGAGCCTTGTAGATTAGAGTTTCCGCGACCGGCTGTATGATGATGCGTTTCACGGCTAGAGTGGCAAAAGCGCATGTATGAATCAGGAGCAAGAATTTTTATATGCCCACTTCGCGTCATTAATTATACTGCTAAAAATTTCTGTGCCACCAGTCTTCTGCCCATAACTTTGTTATTTGGAAATAAGGCATAGGCCGTCATGGTGTGATTAATTTTTCTGATGCAATAAACCTCTCTCCAAATAAAGAAATGTCCAGTGATAATTTGTAATCAAGTACTTAATTACTCTAATTACAGCTTCAGCACAAGAAATATGTGTAATCATTTCAGTATATGGTCTTATTCAATTAGAATCTTTTCTGTCATGCCTATCACACCACTCCTTCATAGAAAGAACTTGGTTTGAAATCCATACTTGTTCGTTGTAAATCATAAAAAGGAGGTTATGAAAAAAAAAAGGCAACAAAGGCACACTGGTCACAGACCAGATGCCTGAGAAGTCAAATATCACAAGATAAACCTGAGGTCACATTTTTTAGGCGTCTTAGAGATGTTAAGAAAGTTAAAACTTCAAACGCAGTTTTCTCAATACTGTTTCTTTTTTACATTATGCTCAGCCTCTCCACGAGGTTCAATAAAGAAATAATTTGTCTCTTGTAAAGTATTTGTGGTATCGCCTCAAAATTTTTATGGAAGCACTGTGAGGTTATTCTTAGTGTCTGTGCCAATTTTCATCAATATCCAACGAGAAACAAGAAAGTTCATCAAAAAGAAAGCCTGTCGAAGTTTTTGACAGGCCCCCAATCATGAGCAATTCCCGCGTGGCCATACCGCTGCTGCCGCCGCTGGTGGCGGAAAAAAAAGCAAGAATTCACCAGCGGCGAAAAAAAAAGAAGCATGAATTCACCAGCAAAACAAGACCAAGATGGTGGCGCTGGGCCACGTGATTGGGAATTTTAAACACGCAAAGTTGGGATATTTTGAGCGCTCGCTGGCCACTCGCCGGCTAACGCGGCATGTTATATAATTTATTTGACGGACTTTTGCGATGAATTAAACTTTATATTTACAGAACAGATGGTTAATAAGACGTACAGTCGACTCCTCTTAAACAGAACTCGAAGGGGATCTATAAAAACTGTTCCATTTATCAAAAGTTTCATTTAAGCAAAGTATACTTAGTGAATTATAACTTTTATTCAAATTGCACAAACGTCACCGTACTCATGACGATGAGTAGGAAAAAAAAGGAGTGAAAGGTGGTTTGCTTGGCAAGCTTGAGCTGTTTTTTCCCAAGGTATGCACCCATGCCCAACAAACTAGCCAGAAATTCAGGACAAGCCTTATGCTCAATATAGTTCAACAGCCTCTTTAGCTGATCGGTCTGGTGGCACCGCTACACTGTGGCAATATTGTTCTCACATTCATCGCTGAAAGGTTAATCCTCATCTTGCACTTCGGCGATCATTTCCTTGACAGTGTCTTGACGACAGGGACGAACATTTTCATCAATTGATTTGTAGTCCTGCAAAGTGAAAGGGGCAGAGGGCACGATCTCACTGAATACTGCCTCAATGTTGGCATCAGCAGGGCTTCCTTCTTCATCAGGTACTGCTTCTTGCTCTTGAAAGGCAGCATGACGAAAGCATCTGTGTATTGTTGTTGCTTTTACTTGCTCCCAGGCACGGGCCAAAATGCCAATAAATCTATGCTGTGGCATTTCCCACTGTCTGCACAAAGCAGCAATCGATGGAGCAATAGCCTGCTGTAATGAACTTTATTGTTCTGAATAACCCCTTGATCCATCGGCTGGATCACTGCCATTGCATTGGCTGGCAATAATGCCAGAGTGATGGCTTGGAGTCAACCTGACCGTGGGCTGGGCAATTACCCATGGGGAAGACAACCTTCCTGCCTTGCCTCGTAAATCTTGCGTCTTCCTCCTGTAGCCAGTTTTCAAAAATGGCCATGGTCATCCACGCTGTTGTGTTCGCATGGTACGCAACGGGAACGTGTCAAACGCCTTTGAAACAACGTGAGTGCCTTGATTTTTCTATTACCAACAGCTGCAATTTCTGATCTCCTGCCTTGTTTGCACCCACCAGCAGAGTGATGCCATTTTTACTGCATTTTCCTCCACTACAGGTTTCGCCTTTGAAGGTGAAAGTATTTGATGGAAGCACCTTATAAAAAAGACCTATCTCGTCTACGTTTAAGACGTCTAATAACTCAAAGCTCATCAAAATTCCCTTAAGCCGCCCCATTTGCCAGCCAGTGCAAATGTCCCCGTTGACTACAGAACCCTCACCTGAGATTGCTTTGAATACTAGACCATGGCGTGTTTTGAAGCGGCTGAGCCATCCGTCGATTAGAACGAAGTTCTCAACACCCATTTACATGGCGATCGCTCGAGTTTTCTGTCCAAGAATTGGTCCGCTTATGGGCAAATTGGAACTCCGTGCACGCTTGAACCACAGAAAAAAGATCTTTTTCTAATTGTTCATAAAGTGTCGTCCGCATCCGCTTAGATGTAAAGCTCCCCTTCTTTACAGAGCCTTGAATCTTTTCTCTGCCTTTGAAGATCCGCGACAGCATCGATTTCGGGATGTTGTATTTTTTTTTGCCACTTCCATCTTGGGCACGCCGCTTCGATCAAGCTCCTGAAGAATTTTCAGCTTTTTTTTCAAGCCCGAGTGCATGGTGTGGCCACTGGCTTTCCTTCGGGCTGAAATAACACCGTGATCCACCGCAATTAGCCGCACAAATAGGCCTAACACACAACTGACTCGCCGACTTGGCTCCCACAGCCACCACAAGCGAGAATGGCTACTGGATTGGCTTGTGTCGGAGTGCTGTCATGATTGCGAGACTACTTTTGTTTGGCCAGAGCGAGTCTATGGTCTGTTTAGAGTTTGTGCCATTTAACCGTAGGTGACTAATAAGCACTGATTCAATTAACCGATGAATTTTACTGCACAACACATAGAAATCCAGCCATATCAGCCCGTTTAGTTCTCTTTATGAGACATTTTCTTTTAAGCGAGTTTCGTTAATTGGGAGTCCACTGTACTACCCGAATATGTGGTTGTCAAGTTCACTTTTTCACGATTTTTAGGTTTTCAAAGGGCACGTCCCCCCAAAATCCAATGTTTCAAAGATGTTTCCATCGTTCAGATCGGCATACAGCGCTTTGACGATGCTTGCGCAGTCATCAGTGACATGCATGGCAGCCTTCAATAAAACAGGAATCATTCCCACTTTCATGTTATCTTTATATGTCTTTGCATATCCATGAAACATTCAGGGTGAAAAAAAAAATGCTGTCCTACGCAGTTTGTTCGCTTGCTGTGCCGCGTGAAACGCGAGCACGTTGATCCCAAACGGGCGGCACGCTGCATCTTCCCCGTGCTCTCGGTGAGCTCTGTACAAATTTCAGTTCCCTGCACTCGTCACACGTCAGCACAAGTTTCGTGGTGATGCCAGTTTCGTGCCGTGCCCGCAACTGACCTACTCAGTTGCGGGCACGGCACGAATACAAGCATGGTGCCCAATGTGTTTGTATTTGCTTGTTAGCAGGTTCCGCTTCTTGTCACCGCTGCGAATTCAAGTGCAACTACCGCATTCACCAAGACTGAGCACGAGCCACCGTTCTCAAGCTATCTGAATTTGTCGCCGATGCCGCTTCTATCCCCGAACACTGGCGTTGATAGTGTGCGATTGTTGGTGTATATTTCTTAAGCTTGTCACAAATGGTGACGAGTTGAATCCGGGACCGAGCTCAAACTCAGATGACAAACTTGAACAGATTTTGTAAACTTTGAAGGAGCAGTCAAAAACATTAGCTGACATTAAACGTGATCAGACAGCAGTCCAAAAGGAAGTAAAAGAATATGG